CCTTCTCCTTTTCTGTTTCTGCCCTTTTATCATTCTTTTAGGGGTCGGCAGGTGCCCCCTTTGCCCTTATATCTACGCCTCTACTTACTATCCAAAGCTACGGGCTAATGCCTGTCCACCATATTCATTTGCCTCTTTATCATTTCTTGACAGACTAATATAATTATAGGAAATAAATTGAAAGACGTGTTTTGTGCATGCTTTTGAATTAGCCTTTGCACGAACTCCGGGCTACTTTAAGTTGAGTGAATATCAACATAATGAGAAACAAATCGCGACAGAATTGTTGATCTATCAAAGGTGTTTATTGCGATGAATAATGTAATTATTGACATTAAAATCAAGTTTCTGGACGCTCGCACAAGAAGGGATCGGTGGAATTTTGACATCACCGATTGGGATAAGACTCTATAGTGAGTAGTTATATGGCGCATAAGAAGTGAAAATGCCCTTAACAAGGTCATGTTGGTATATTATTCAATTAAAAAAAAATACCATTTCGCACTTTCAAATTCTCATGTTCAATTTCTATATCCTATATCTGAAATAGCTGGTGAAGAAGACGCTTTTAATTGTTTGAAAAGTGGCTATCTACAGTTATATCCCATATGGATGAGACTTTTTCTTTTTGTTACCCCCCCCCCTCTACCAGATTTGTTTTTTTTTTCCTTTTTTATAATCCTCCCAAGTTTGTAAGTTTCTGTGAAATGTTTATAGGAGTAGGCTTTATTGAAAAACTTTTTCAGCACAAGGAAGTCTGCCATAAGGTCCAATACCAAAATTGAAAAAAATACATTATCAGATACAAAAATGAAACTTAATGAAAATAAAAATTTAATGAAAACATCCGGTCAATGTACATTTTGACGGTCACAGTATAATAACCTAAATATCAAGACGAGGAAAAACATATAGTTGTCAGTTTCACTGTGCATCTTTCTTACAAATAATTTCAGAAGGAATTAATAAGTATAGTAATTATACTTTTGCTTCATTACTTTACTTCTTTAGATCTTTTTTTTTCTTTCTTCTTAATCCCCGAAGTTGGATGGAAGTATAGCCCGGAGCCCGAACCTTCATATTTCCATTTCGTGATAATGGGATCATAAATAATTATGTGAAGCCGTCTGGCGATGCGAAGGGACTTTAAGGTCAGTAAAGGCCGAAAGAAGATGCAAGAAGTGCAAAATGGAGGCCATCCTCTTCTCTGGCCATACTTACTGCCTAAAGGTTTTTATTCTAATTATGGTCCCCAGCGAAATAGAGATGGATATAATTGAAATGGAAATGAGACAATTTTGTAGAGCATGCGCTACGAGCGATCACCTGAGGCGGGTGCCGGTGCTATTATACAATGAGCAAGCAACTTCGTCTGGGGCCGCGTACATGGCGAAACTCCAATCAATAATCGGTAATTATTTAAATAATCTCGCCATTATGGAAGTTAATTGGATCAATAATAATCTCGCAATTATGGAAGTTAATTGGATCAATAATAATCCCCCATGTATGTCAGCGTTAAAGTCGTTTCGCCCGCTTCAAAATCATTAAAATATAAATGAAATTAAAAAAAAATGCAAATAAATAAGTATCAATCTATCAATTGAATCTCTTTATTGGCAAATAAAAATGATAATGATGCTTGTCGACCGTTAAACTATATTATAGGGACATAATGATAACCAAATAACTGCTGAATAACTCTGAACCAATTTTTTCTCTCCACATCTAAGGAGTACTGTAGGTTTTTTTAATATATATTTTCTGTTTGCGTTTCGTACTATTTAACGAAAGTCCCGAAGTCGCCTTCAATATTGGAAACTTATTTTTGCTGTTTGCCGTAATATCGTTTTTTTTATATATGGATATAAATTAGCACTTTCTATTATAAGTTCAGTCTTTAATTACATTGTGTACGTGCATGTACTTACTCTAGGTCAACCGGACCATTGTGGAAAGCAGTTTTGTAACTGGCAATGCTACCCGGTACAAATAAAACTACTAATAAATATATGATATTATGGAATAGATTTGTGTTAGATTACATATTCCATTACAACTGACAATGTACACCTTTTTGTTACAGCGAGTTGGCCTCTGATATCCATTCATTATGCAAAGACGGGTAATGCGGGAGGGGGAGGGAGATCATAAAAAGAAAGCTTCTGAAGAATAACAAATTGAGATGAGTAATCTTGTTTACTGGACAAAGAAGTATTTTTCATGAAAAGTATATCTTCGTTGTATCCCTCAGCGAGGGGGTGCTACTACTAAATCAGTTTATGATTTATGATTATGGAAATAGGATCAGTGTTCAACGAGAGAAAGAGAAAGGGGAATCAAAATCTTCGAAAGCAATAATAGATAGAACTAGGTACCATCATGACCCGTTCATTATGCATGGATAATTTAAAGGGGGAGAGAAAGAGAGGAAGAAAGAGACTATCAAGATGAGGTAACCAGGAACAACAAAACAGAGGTGATTTATTGCCTAAAACGAATTATTCGAGAAATAATAGTTTTGTTACTTAATGGCCAATTTTTTTCCCTCTAATCCATGCAGCATTATAACGTGATTTTGTGTAGATTGAGAAAGGGAGAAAGAGAGAGAGAAAGAGAGAGGGGAAAAAGGGGGCGGGGGGGGGGGGGGTAATAGAGAGAGGAGTGGTGATACATAATAAGAAAGAGAGAGAAAGGGAGAGAGTAATAGAGAGAGAGAGAGAGAGAGAGAGAGAGAGAGAGGGGGGGGGGCAAAATAGTAACCTACTCTTTCGTGTTTTTGTTTGTTTGTTGTTTGATTGTTTGTTTTCCACTCTCCACTCAGGTGTAAATGGGTACCCGATATGACATAGCGCTACATAATTATGGTTAACAACGTTAGAGCCTTAGGAATTACGTTACAGCATGACGGAGATGTGCGCTATACAAGAAGAGTCTTTTAAGTTTTCTCGATAATTTTCAGCTAAAGTCCAAAACTCTTAATATGAGAGTGTTTAATACAGGGTTTACGGCATAAAAAAAACTTTCAAATGCTTGAATTAATTGAGGTGGGAATTACATTGAGGAAACGCCCTAATTTTGCCTCCCAGCAGATAATATTCCACAAGAAGTCAAATTTTTTGTGTTTCTCATATTGGTAAATTACAACAAGAAGCAGTAAAAACTGACCCAATTCAAACAAACACGCACACACGCTCCGAACGGCACACGCACTCACGCAGATTATATATTAAAAGTGTGACATTATGAACGATTCAACATCTTTACCAGATAGGGTAAATCACTATTTCTATAGCGTTCTGTCTTGATTTCACCTGGGGGATTCACAAACTTATTATTGTGTCTCAGGCTTCTTCGAGAAGACTGTCTTTCAGGAAACCACTCACGAAAGTTACATTTGCGATTAAAGTTGCGACAGAGCTATACTCCTTTGTATAGAGAGGCAGTGGCGGATCCAGGGGGACCGGGGGGCCCGCCCCCCGGGAAAAAACGTGTAAAAACACGTGAATTCTATCTTTTGGGGGAGATGCCCCCCCCTGGCGCAATTTTCACATTATCGAGGGCCCCCAAAATGAGCTCACTACCCCCCCCCCCCACCCCACTGAGCGAATTTCCGGCTGGCGCGATTTTCAAATTTTCGGGAGAAAAAAATAAAAATAAAATAGTGCTCACTACCCCCCCCCCCCCATAGAGCGCATTTTCGGCCGGCGCGATTTTCGGAGGCAAAAAAGAAAAAGCCCCTACCCCTAAGAAATCCTGGATCCGCGCCTGTAGAGAGGACACGTACGTTACACAATGTATGTGCCTGGATTTAGTTATCAGGTATAAGCGTTCGTAACACTTTTGTAGAATATAGATTAATACTAGTGAGCCAGAGTTTGACCCCACCCCCTAAAAAAGAGAGGGGGAGGGGGGGGGGGGGCTTTTAAAAATGTTCAGTCAACAAACTCACATTCAGCAGGCGATTCTATACTGAATTTACTCTCTTTAAAAAGATTCGAGTGATCGATCATGAAATGTATGGCAAATGTGAGTGAAAGCCTAATGAAAATAGAGGGAAAATTCTTCCTTTTCTTTTTTTGATAGCTACAATAACTCGATATGCACTCTTAACCACAAGTGATTCCTGACGTGATCCCCGAGTGAAAATTCAATTTTTTTTTAGAGAGTACATCTGCAAACTAGTTGTCTTTGTTCTTTTAACGATTGGAGTAATGCGTTTTAAAACATAATTTTTAAATAAATCAATGCTTTTCGAGTTAATAAATTCTCATTTAAATAATTGTCACTGTAATGTGCGTTAATGTGCGCTTTCCCTGTTTATAAGCGCAGGCTGTGGTACAGTGGAAAACACTCCGTCCCTCGGATAGGACACTAAATGGAGGCCCCGTGTAGAGTGTGAGGGGAGGGGGGCAGTTCCCCCACCACTTTTTAAATTATCCAAATATCCTCTTTCTTTTTTTTTTTTTTAACATGAGCCCCATTTCTTCCCTCATAAGTCCCTCTTTTTACTTCTTGATAAGAACCCCTTCCCCTCCTCATAATATATACCCCTATTAAAATCTGATAAGTGCCCCTTTTCTTTCGACAAGTGACACATTTCTGTGTAATGTGTGCCCCTAGCCCTTATTACCTGGTTAGACAAGTTACCATCTGAAAACGATTTCTTTTAATATAAAGATAAAATGTATGTAACACCCTATAAGATACAGTCAAATCTTTCTATTATGGCCACCCAAGGGAAACAGCGAAAGTGGCCATTGTGAACAGAGATGGCCTTTCTATTATAGGCAGGTTCTACAACAAATATTTGTCTCTCGAAGGAGACAATAATATATTGGCACTATAGACAGGTGGAATTTATAGGGAGGTGAACACTATTCTAACTTTCTAAGACAAGTTTGACTACCTATATATTTAGCATTTTTGTCTTGATTGTTCAGATAAAATGAAAAATTACACAAAATTTGGCTCGGGCCCTCTATCGGCAATTCTGAGAGATTTCGATTAAAAAACATGTGTGACTTGTCGTGTGAACACCGAGTCCTCGTTTAGAACTTTAAAAATCACCAATTGAGAAGGCTATTATGGCTCGTAAAAAGGTATGAGAGATTTGAAATTGAATAAATATAAGTTTATGAAATATGCTGATCATTCTCATTGTTTTCATATCAAAATCTGTGGATGAATTATTGTGAAAGTGTGTGTTGCTTACTGTAACCCAGTCCCATGTGTAGTAAATTGTGTATGTAGCTAGTTTGAGAGGGAGGTGCTCAGGTCTCCTGCGCGCGCGATCGCGACTTAAATAAAGCCAAGATAGGTCTGAAAAAATGCTGATGGCGCTCAAGATTGAACAAAAAAAAGTTAAGTTGAATATATTTGAATATGAGCTTGTGTGCAATGTCATTGTTTGACAGAAGAAAAAGGAGGAAAAAGCTGAAGGCGAAAGGCAAAGCCTTCTCTCTCTCTTGCGTTTGCTTCGCCTTTGCCTTCAGCTTGCCTTTGCCTTCAGCTTGCCTTTGCCATTGGCATTGCGATTGCTGTTACGTTACTTAGTATTCTAAGTCTTTTTGCTTTAAACATAATGTGATGTATGGGTGCAATGATTTATTGCCTCATACTGCATGGTTTCGAAAAATGGATTATTTGAATATTCCTGATTTGAAATCAATGAAGAACTTTGATAATTCTTTGATGATGTTTCTTTCCTGACCCACAGAGCAAGTCTAAAAAGGCAGCCCAGAGGAAACAAAACCTTGCAGAGAATGACTATGGGAAAGCTCCACATACGTTTGTCTTCAATAGGGGCAGGGTCGGAAAGAACGGCCTGCAGCTTATGCTTGATACCAGGCAAATGATGGAGCCTTACACCGCATCAAGTCTTCGAGTAAGTATTAATCCAGGCCCTTGTCTACTGGGGCCATTTCATTCCACATCACAACATATAACTCTTGGTTGTTGTTAATTAAAGCTTTAAAAAGAGCTCTGGAAAAGCTGAAAAATTGGACACTGTTAACTATGAATAAGGATATGAGGAAATACTTGTTCATTGTATCACTTACCCCTGTAAATATTTTTGCTTACTCTTTCAGAATAATCGGTAAACTGCCTTGCAAGTACAAACCCAAACAACTTCTATTTCCCTTTCATGTTTTAAAAGGGGAAAATTGTTATTTTTATAGCATCTTACTTAAATTACTTGTGTATAAAGAATAAGTCTACATCGAAGTCTGATATTACATAAAATTAGTTTTGCTGACATCTTAGGTCATAGGTAAATTCTTATTTTTTGATTTTCCTATTCTGCCATCTTGTGTTTTCTTTTGTATAGGCCCGTAAGAAGAACACTCTGAAGGACTTTGTTGGAGTAGCCGGTCCTCTTGGTGTTTCTCACTTTCTTTCCTACACAAAGACAGACTCTGCCATACATATGGTGAGTATTATATTGTCATACATGTACAGGTATCTCTCATCATCATCATCAGCTTGCCATCCAGATTTATTTTCACAACTGATATTACTTATGTCTCATGCTGTGTAATGAAAAAAAAATTTAACCCACACTTTTGCAATTGGTTCATGCAGCAAAGTGATGACATTACAACACTAAAACTATGCAATTTAGGAAAGATTCTTATCTCAAAAATTGTAGCCATTAGCTTTATGCAAACGTTTCTAGATCCAGTAATTGAATAAACTTGATTTACCGTAGTGCCACCATATAAAAATAATAAATTTCATTTGCTCTTTTTTTTTCAAAGGGTAAAGCAGTATTTTGTGCAATGGTAGTAATTATTAATGTTATATTTTTTTTTTCACCTTTAATTTGTTTGGTTTGTATTACAGAGAATAATGAGGCTACCCAGAGGCCCAACCTTGACCTTCAAAGTTCACAAGGTGAGTAAGAATTATTGGAAATAGCAAAGCTGAAAGAAGGATGAACACCCCCCCCCCCCCAAAAAAAAAAAAAAAAAAAAAAAGCATTTCAGGTCACCCAAAATTTTATAATGCATATTATATTTTTGGACAAATAAAGCTTGTCTTTCTGTTTGAAAGTCAACCTAATATTAGGAGTTACTAAGTAAGATATACATGTTTTTAATAGTGATGATGAACAGAGAATAGAAGGATCATGATTGAAAACTTGGTGTCACCATATAGGAGATAAATAAATCGGTTAACAAAACCAGTGCCCTGACTTTTTTCTTAACACCTGCAGTACACTTTAGCTAAGGATGTTGTATCGTCGCTACGGAAACCCAGCATGTATGCATCTCAGTTCCTTCATCATCCTCTTCTCATCCTCAACAACTTCAACGGGAATGAACTCCGCTTCAAGCTCATGACCACCATGTTCCAGAATATGTTTCCATCTATCAATGTCAACAAGGTGTGTCATTTGTCTTGGAAGGCTCTTAAGTATTTTAAATTTTGTATTTGTTGTTTCATTTTGACAGGGTAGCCATTTTAGTTATATAAAACTGCTCGACCAAGGGGCCCTGTAGTATGCATGACATTGTAGCTAGGCTCTAGTCAAATGTCTGGATTAGTTCTCAATAACAAGTGTCACCATCCGTTTCGAACCTGCTTCCTCGGCTGAATCAGTTTGTAACTTCAAATGGTAGCTGGATTACAGGTGCACGCCACAACAGGAGTGTAATGCTTGTCTGTTCTGGTTTTAATCCTTTTGTTAGATTCATCTGAATGACATCAGAAGGTGTGTTCTGCTCAACTACAATGCCGAGACCGAGCGGATAGAGTTCAGACACTAGTAAGTTAAATCTCATATCGTAGAATAAATAATTTTTTGAGACTTCATCCAGTGAAGGAGTAGATCTTTCAATGAATATGAAATAAAGTATTTTCTTGTTGCATATTTTGCGTAAAGGAAAATCCGACCTTTATAAACGATCAATCTTAGAGAATGCACAAAAATCAGAGAAGTAGACTGGTAAAAGTTTTAATACTAAGTAGAATCGGACAAAAGTAAAGTTCTAATCACTGTACATGCGGGAACTTCAAATTGGCTGAATCGATAATGTCACTGTAGTGACGTAGTGTCTGACAACTTTCCCATTTGTTTCAAATAAAAAAAAGACTAAAATTTCGATTTTGTCAAAATGTACGACTCAGGAGGGGCTTTTAGAGGACATATAATATGCTATTCATATAATTTTTTGAGAAGTGCCCCAGGGGAGAAAGCATGTAGGGGTAAAACAGAAATTAATGATATTTGTTTGTACATAAAAAATTACCAATTCAAGATTTGAATAATGGAGCAGTGTTATTGCACAGTGACCTGCATCCTAGGTCCAAACGAAGTACAAGGGTACTAGGCAGAACAGTATCTTTTACATGCATTATCAGCTATGTGCTGCCAGAAAAAATAAACCCTTTGCTACATGACATGTCACAAACCCTATGTGACATGTATAATTTATTGTGATTATGTTTTTTTCTTCTTCACAGTTCCATCAAGGCTGTTCCAATGGGGATGAGCCGAAGCACCAAGAAACTTCTCCAGAGTAAAGTTCCCAATCTAGGACGTTACCAGGACGTCAGTGACTTCTTCCTCAAGTGAGTATACTCAGCCCCTCTTTTCCGTTCTTTCCTCAGCTTCCCCTCATTCCTATATATATTCCTATATATAAGAGGGCCTGCGGTCCTGAAAAGCGCTATATAAGAAGTAGCTACAGTCAAACCTGTCTACAGCGACTGCCCAAAGGAAACGCTAAAAGTGGTCTTTGTAGATATATATATATCTATATTTGTAAAGCGCTTTAAGAGGGCCTGCGGTCCTGAAAAGCGCTATATAAGAAGTAGCTACAGTCAAACCTGTCTACAGCGACTGCCCAAAGGAAACGCTAAAAGTGGTCTTTGTAGACAGGATCCTTTAGTACATGTTTCAATGAAAAACCATTTTCAAGGGAAACAAAAAAAAGTGGTCTTTGTAGACAGGTGGTCACTAAAGCAGGTTTTACTGTATATCTAATGTAGTAGCCATCACTCCATGTCCAGAAAATTTTCTATGAGTGATATAATGATCATCATTCATCCCCATCTTTCTTTCTTTCCCAAGCACTGGTCAGTTGTCCGAGAGCGAGGCAGAGCTGGACGGAGAACACAATGAAGTGACCCTGCCTCAGAGGTTAGCTAGCCGAGGCAACCTGGACAACCAGAAGAGCGCCATCAGGTTAATAGAGGTGAGACAATGACATCGAAGAACATCTCATTACCTCAGTCACACCGGCAGACTGACAGAGTTTTGGTCATAATAATAATAATGATAAAAACTGTGCTTATAAAGCGCTCACCACCGAAATCTCTAAGCGTCATTGGGGTAGTGTAATTGTTTAATCGGTCCGTTTTCAGTCTGGTGTCGGGCTTCTTGGTGTGACTCGGGTATATATCAGTGCTCAAAAACAATAATACAAAAAATTGGACTGTCAAGTGATTCTGTTATGACATAAGAATTTATTATGATTGCGTACTTTGTAAGGAGGTCACACTAGTAGATTACCTGACTATAGTTTAGTCTTTACTTTACCTCTCATACTAGCATTGTAGAGGTGTTGTGGTCTAGTGGATATTTCACTGGACTATGGATGTCCTTTGGCAAGCCATCAATCTACATTTTCCACTCTCCACCCAAGTGTTAATTGGGTATCCGGTAGGATTCCAACATTATTGTGGTTGGATTGGCATGTGTGCATTTGTAAATGGAATACTCCACAAGATCGGGGCATGTAAAGTGCTTGGAATTTTTTAAAGCACCCAACTACTGTAAGTCAATTTTCAAATATAAAGCAGCACATTATCCTCGAAATTCGCAGTAAAAAAACCCCAAAACATATTAATTTTGATAATAATTATGTAATGTAGTACTCTGTGCACTTTGCAGATAGAATATAGCATAAAGTTTAATGCAAGTATTTCTCTACTCGTATCCAACTTGCAATGATTATGTCTTGCTCTACTCAGATTGGACCACGGCTACAGCTTGGCCTCATAAAGATAGAGGAAGGTCTAGGTGAAGGGGAGGTACTCTATCATGAATCTAGTGAGTAAATCATTGTTTTAAGGTTTTTATGGTACCATTGTGCAGGCTCAGTTTTTTTGTTTTTTTTTGTTGTTGGTTTATTTCAATAACACATCAAACAAGCAGCTCACAGGCTGAAAACGTTTAATTTACAAACAAATTTAGAATATAGAGAGATATAAACATATACAAAACTAAATTACATAGTGTAAATCAACTTTTGCAGAAATTATTTAGCATTGGTAAGATGAAATCGACATTGCAAAATAAAGTTATTTGTTTAATGTAGTTATACACTTTTATGTTAAAGTCTTAGAAGGTGAAAAGGAGAGAATGGAGAAAAAAAATGGACATTGTCTGAGCGAAAGAGTTCAGAAAGTATTTAACAACTGCTATAAAAACATTTCTATTATAAAAATTGAAATCAAGCATAAACATATGTATTGGAAGACAAGAAATTAAGCCGTAAAATAAAAATGACAGTCTCTATTCCGTTTTTCCCTCATAAATGTAATGACAGCATTCATCTAAATCAAGAAAGTAAATTTTCAAGTTGTAATGCCCTGTTTATTTCTAGGGTAGGAGTATGATGTTTCCTGTGATATGAATATTATTGTGAATAATGTAATGTAATGCACACAAAGCCATCAAATGAATCTGCTAATGTTTTATTGTTGTCAACACACCTCCTTTTATTTCTCGTCACGTGAATGATGATATTAATAAATCTTCTCTTATACTTCATTTTATAGTAACAAAAACAAAGGAGGAAATTTCTGCAGCTAGAGAGGTGAAATTCAGGAAGAAGTAAGTCATTTTTTTTCTCTTTAAAGAAGAAGACATAGTGAAAGAGAATTTTAAATTACAGTTCAATATATTGCATTTGTTTGTTGCTAGTCATGAAGAAAGTAATGAACTTTTTTCCTCCACAGCTGTTCTTCTAATACAGCAGGAGAGAACATTAGCACATCCATGAACAAGTGGGGATTATGTAATTGAATCGATGTGCGTAATTGTGAAAGATATGGCATAAATAAATCATGGGACAATATACTAGAAAGGCACAATGTCCAAGTGGGGATTATGTAATGGAGTTGATGTGCGTAATTCGAAAGATATGGCATAAATAAATCCATGACAATATACTAAAGAGACATCATTTTTTGCATGCATGAACTTTGCATGAATTATACAGGTGATTCATATTTGCGAAGATTTTTCCTCTTGAAATATTTTTGTGAAAGACTCTTCCTGATACTCATTTTTGTTCTCCCGTTCTTGTTTTCCCTCTCTTTCTATCCTTTATTTACCTCCTTTGTCACCTCTCTTTTTATCTCTCTCTCTCTCGCTCTCCCTATCTCTCTTTTTTTCTCCCTATCTCTCTGTCTCTCACTCTCCCTATCTCTCTTTTTCTCTCCCCATCTATCTCTCTCACTCTCCCTATCTCTCTCACTCTCTCTCTCCCTATATCTCTCTCTTTCTCCCTATCTCTCTCTCTCTCTCAATACATTCCCGAATTTAGGATTGCAAAGATCAAGAGGAAAAAGCAGCAAGAGGCAAACGTAGCAAAGAAACAGCAGGAGAATGAAGAAAACAAGTGAGTATGAAAACAAAATCCACATTCTATTTGAAATGTTTACAAAAGTTTTGATGCCAAAAGGGCTATACCTATAGATGGACTATGCTAAAAATACCTCTTTGTTTGGTGTTTATGTCTTATTGTTGCAGTGTGTTAAGCCTCAGCCACACGTAACAGGCACTTCAGAACACCTTTTTACTGCAATTGTCATTGAACACTCCACCCCAAGAAAAAACAATTCCACCTTTAAGTCTATTTTGAAACCGACCTGCAGCATTTCTTGCTTTTTATAACTCTTTAAAAAAAAAATTGAATTATTCATCAACACCTCACCAATGTATAATTGAAAGTAACGTTTATTTTTCACTTGTTGCATTTTGAGGTCATTGAACTTTCTCCTGCACTTCTTGATTTTTATAACTTATTTTTTAATATTGAATTATTCGTCACCACGTCACCCCAAGGTTCAATTGAAATATACCTTTATTTTCCCCTTGAAATCAACTTGTTGCATTGTGAGGTCAATGAAATTTATCCTGCTTTATTTGCTTTTTATAACTCTTTTTAAAAATTGAATTATTCATCAACACCTCACCTCAAGATTCATTTGAAATATACCTTAAATTTTATTTTCACTTGTAATCAACTTGTTGCATTGTGAGGTCATTGAACTTTCTCCTTCATGCCACCAGGACACGTTCCATTCAAGGGATGAAGAGGAAGTATGGGAAGGAGGGCGGCGATGGAAAGAACGAAGGAGAAGAGGAGGAGAAGAAGGTGGAGGAGGATGACGATATGCAGTATTACAGAGACGCAGTGGGAGAGGAACCTGATGCAGGTGAGAGAATAATTCTACGCCAGAATGAAACCAGACATACAATTTTATTTACCTGTCACTAACTACGGAATTCTGTCACTCTAGGTTTAAGTGTAAATAGAAGGTTTGGGTTCTGGTCAAGATGAAAAGTAATGTGTGCACTTTCTTGTTCTTTTTATCCCACTTTGGAAGAATATCATGGTAGACATGGCATGTTTCTTATGATTTTGATGATTCTAAAACTTCATAGTGTACACAAATACTATTTATATTTATCAATATTTTCTTTGAAAGCAGTTGTCCTGTGCAGATCCACTAGGGGCTTTCCCTAAAAAGAGAATCCATACTAATTTTATTAATCCACTGCCTACAGAAACCAGGTAGATCTTGTATTAAACCCTGGGGGACTGAAATAACTCAGTAGTCTATGGGTCGATTGATTGAAACATCTTGGAAGATTATTTTATTTGTATTTTATTCCTCAGGTCTGTTTCCGAAAAAGAGATCAAAATCTTCTGAGGGCACCAGAGGCAGAGGCAGGGGCACCAGAGGCAGGGGCGACAGAGGCAGGGGCGAGAGCAGAGGCAGGGGCGACAACAAGCGGCAGAAATTTGGATCTCAAGATCGTAGCAGAGGAGGATCAGGGGAACGAGGAGGGGGAGGAGGAAGAGGAAGAGGAGGAGGAGGAGGAAGAATGGAAGATAGAAGAGGAGGTGGAAGAGGAAGGGGCGGAGGAAGAGGCGGAGGAAGAGGAAGGGGAAGAGGAGGAGGAAGAGGAGGTCGTCATGAAGATGGATCCAGTAGTGGAAGCCAATCCTTCAAGCCCAAATTTAGTTCTAGAACTCAAGCCGGCAGATCCAGAGGTGGAAGAGGAGGAAGAGGGCAGAAAAGGCCATTCTCCAAGCACTAAATTTGGACCAACGCAGATCAAGAAAATGAAGCCTAGGAACTCTTTAGACTGGACCTGGTCTAGGCTTTGGGCCTAAGTACTAATGTCTTCCTCCAAGAGAGACATGTATGTTGTGTGGGCTCATAGAGAAAGATGGGTTCTGGTAAAGGCAAAAAATAATTTGCAAGCTTTTTTCATTCTGTTAATTATACCAGGGATGCCAGTTTTAAGGCAATAGCCTGCATTCAGGCCCTGGTAAGTTACAATGGAAATGAGCTATTTTGTACACAGTAGCCCATTTCCAGGTGATTTTCAGGCCCTCCGATAAATTTTAATTGGCATCCCTGTTATAATGCTAACAAAGAATAATGGAAAACAATCTTAATTTGTTAACTCTGACTAAGAACATTGAATACATGTATGTGACACATTGTATAGCAATGGTCATGAGCACCCAATAGAGGCGGACTCCGGAGCTATACAAGAAGCCATCATATGTTTTTTCCAGCTTTGAAAAAAGTCCCCTGAAAAGAGGATTGCCCTTCAAATGCCCTCATTTTCAAAGTATGACAAGAATTAACTTTTAAGCCATATATAGTTTGAAACCATTTTTACTCATTTCTGTTCTCAGGGCATGTACCGAGTTGGTTTCTCATTAATTTCATGATTCTGAAATTTCTCGGTATTCACCAGCCCCTGTGTACTACATAAAGCATCTTTACAAATCTTAATCTATGACATCTTTAACATGTTGAATACTTCACATATGTGCAGGACAACTCGGGATTGGGCCTATGGAAAATACATGTGCGTGATTTAAAATATCTAGATGGTTAAATAATAATCGAGTTACATTGACTGATTAAGGCTACATCAAGAAGTCAGGCAGTACATGTATTCCATTTCTTCATGCATTGTAAGAGTGCATTTAGATGACATAAAGGTAAAGACCAGTTATGGTCATGCGATTGCATTGTGAAAGAAACGTTGTGGAATCGATCAGAAAAGGTTGATCATCTAGCATCTAGCATCTGCAAGGTTCTGGAATCATCAAAATGATAAGAAATTTGGCCCATTCTTCGTAAAGTTACAAGCACTATACACAGAAAGATGTATATGGGACTACCCTATATCTCTCACAGACCATGAGAGAAACAAATTTACCAAATATATGAATTAGTAGGCGGTTTCCCGGCAAATTTTTTATCATTATGTATTAGTCAAAACATATTCTTTCACATGATTGGTAATGAGAGCTTCCATTTCATTTTTTGAAATTGGGCGTTTCCAATACTGGTCTTTACCTTTAATGAGTTGAATTCTCTTTTCCTTTATTATTTTGTCTGACACACATTGGTGTTGTGCCTTCGTTAAAACCTCATTTGTATATTCCCGTTCTAATTAATGGATCACATAATGAATATTTGTAAACTTCATTGTAAATTGTATTGTTATGTATCATTCTGTTGTGAAATGTCCCTCCTTATTCTTTAACTAGCGTAAGAATAAGTTTTGTAAAAATGATTAATGAGATCATGAGTCCACAAATTCAATTTAATTCAAACGACCTGATTCCACAGCAAATTTGCCAAGATTCTAAACCACTTTAGGTCTCAACTAGTCAACTGCAGAGATTTCAGTAGCTTCTAACAGTTATTGTAACTTAGTATTAAGAACAAGTTTCATGAATCGATGCCCAGATCTGAGAGAGAGGTACATTTACAACTGTTTCAGAGTCTAAACTGCTAGTATTGTCATCGTCTCTGCCTGCACCATCGGGCCGCTATCCGTCAGAGCCATTTAAAGACAGAGTTTGGCCAAAATTTTTTATTTTATGACCTTTCTTTTAGTCGGTGCCAATGATGAGGAGTTTGGAAGAAAAAACGCTAGGTTGAGTCGGGCATAATATTATGAATACCGTTCTTTTGGGCAAGCACATAACAAAAGAATATATGCCATGTTGTGCCCTACTCGAAACGGATTGGCCAAACTCTCCTTATAATGGTACTGCTTTCAGTATGAGTATAGCGCCCTCTTTAGACCACTTTGAGTTGTATAGCCTGTACGTCTATATCCATGTAACCAACCATGTAGAGTTATGTCTACTAGTATTTGGTGTCATCTGTGCCTGGGAGGCGAAGCACGAACTGAATCACTGTAACCCTCGGGTCTCTCCTCCCGGTATAACTGATTGGGGGTGTGCAGGTGGACCACTACACTGGCGTTTCCCCCTACTCTTATACGAATAGTGCAGTTTGTTCTTAACATGCAAAGGTGCTGATTTCCCCCTACACGTTGCCTCCATCCTACATTGGTTATTGATTGTATTTATGATTTACGTTTGGCCTTAAAATGATTTGTCATATTCAATTTTTTTTCTTCTATATTTTTTGTGCACCTTCCTCTTAAAATTTGCAAAATTTCAGAATTCAGTGTCTCATATTTGCTCAAGTCGAGACTATTGTTGAAGTATCATATTTTAATAAAGATTATTAAAGAAAACAAGTAAGATGTGTTCTTTAATTCATTTTGTTAAATACCTAAATTGAAGGAAAAAAGAAAAATCAGAATTGCTACCAAATTTATTCAATAGTATATCATGGGCAGTGGAATGGGAATGAGGAGGGGGTTAGGCTGTTGAGAGAGAGAGAGAGAGAGATATGACTCCAATTCATATTAGTCATTCATTGAACTATTGAGATATATTACTGACGAATTATTTTTCTCTGAATAAAATATTGTGCTGAAACTGCTTCCATGTAAACAAAATGGGGGGAAAATGAAAAATTAACATGTGCATCTGTATGATATTCTTGTTCAACGATGAAGACGAAGAATGGGGAACAATAAGGATTGAGCTCTGGTTGTCAACTGTTGTCTCAACAGTAAAATATATATCACATCAATGAAAAAATGAATACTCTACCAACATCAATAGAACATTTTCGTAATGTAATCAAATTTAATGCACAAATCTTTGTTACAGGTAATATGTCCCATTTGCAGGCCAAACAAGATGAAAAGGTTAAATTCCAACGGCATTTGAAAAATAATACTAATTTAAAACTACCCTCACAACAAAAGGGTTTAACATTTTTTTTTTTTTTTTTTGGGGGGGGGGGGGGGGGATAACGACCGTTATTTGTCGAATCGAATTTAGCGATCACGATCGTTTATTAAAATAGATTTTCAGACCATACCGAATGGTCGTATTCTTCATGTTCAGTTTAATTTTGGCCATTACAAGAAGTGAGTTATCGATGTAGACAAATGCTCGTGTGCCCGTTACAGCTCATTTTTTTGTATGTTATTACTGAAGAAAAAAGAAGCCAGTCAGTCACTCAATAGTGTCTGACGGTGCAATCCAGAAAGTAAACGGGTTTCCTTGTATAATTTGAATACTACGATACTGTAAAAGTTTATAGGACATACGTGACATATTCATAATTCCTGCAAAGTTCTACAGACTTTGATGTTGGCTGCAAAAGGGATACACCACCTTTATTCACCTGTTATGAATAATTGTATTTCAATAGTCAGCATGCGAATTGCATACATAAATTGTTGCTAGGTAGGACAAACATAATGGCTGGTTCTATCCAGGGACGTGATAGAGAAGGACTGGAATCAAGCCGCTCTCCTTTGACCCCATGCTCCAAGCCGCCGAAAAGTTATGCGCTAATCTGCAACTGCTGACCAGGTGGTGAGATAAAAGAGCGCATGAATGTCAGGATTTAGAATTCCTACATCAGAAAATGGTATCACAGCAACTGTTCGCTGTCCCTTTCAATGATTTCTCATCCATTGTTGAATGTGTAAAGAGTAGAACAAGCGAACACAAACTTGTGTAATTTCATCCTTTATTTAACTTTAAAAATACAAAAAACACGCAAAAACAGGCATTAGCAAACTTAATGTTATTGAAGATTGTAAAACATGGATCAAATAACGGGACATTATAACATGCACAAATTAGCGCATTATCCTAAACTATTGAGTTTTTGTAAGGATGTAATTTTTCTTTTACCAACTCTGGCACACATATTATAGAAAGGACGGAGTTCTAAATTTGGAAATGTGTTTGATGCACTATTCCCAATACAATCCCCATATAAAGTTTTTGATTTACACAGAAATTTTGCCGGTAATTTAATATTTTGTAATAAATGTAAAACTGGTGCCTGGCTTCCGAAAGTCCCCGCAGTGGAAGCGCGGTTCGGAGCATGGAACTTCAAAGCCAAGTGGAATGTTACACATCCCATTGTTACGCTTTAGAACTCACGAATGCGTTGAATAAATTACAAGAGTTTCGCCGGCTTGATTCCAGTCCTTCTCTATCAAGTCCCTGTTCTATCCCACAATACGGAATTCCGTATATGCAATTCGCACAGTACGGACTATTTAATTTAATTTTATTTTATTTCTGCATTTTTTTCCAAATATGATAACTGAATAACAAAGAACATATCAACGTGTCGTACATATATCAATAACGAAACTTAATATTTCTATAACGTATTATAAATGTAAAGTATCATCCGAACTATTTGTGGAAAAAGTGCAGGAGACCGCAACAACAAGCGATGATTTACTAGGATGGCAGCCTCAAAAGAAAAATCTTAAGGTGAAACTTAAAATTAAAATGTGCTTAAACAATCTTTGTGTATAAGTTTGTCAGAGTGTTGTGTGAATCAGTGGCGGATCCAGGGGGGCGGGGCCCAGCCCTCCCCCCCCCTGGCAAAAAAGAAGGGGGAAAAAAGGGGGAAAATGGGGAAAAAGAGGGGAAAGATATCAAAGGTATGAAATATGCCCATCTGACCGTTATTTATTGCCCAAAACCCCTGAGCTTCCGGGGTTCCGCCCCGCTGGACCCCACGCCAATTCGTGACCTGCCAGTGTCACAATCCTCACAATCATATAAGGTGGCGGATCCTGGGGGGGGGGGGGACCCCTGGCGAAAAACGTGTAAAAACACGTTAATTTTACCTTTTGGGGGAGATGCCCCCCCTTGCGCTCAAGGGAGGGGGGGGGGGTGCGAACAATTAGTGCTCACTAGCCCCCCCCCCCTCCCACCCCCGCCCCACTGAGCGAATTATTGGCCGACACGATTTTCAAATTTCAGCACACTAAATTTCAAATCGATTTCAAATTTGGGCCCCCACCCCTTAGAAATCTTGGATCCGCGCCTGGTGTGAATGTAGGCTAT